AGAAGGAGACAAGAGTAGAGGGCGTAGGAGAGGGCGTAGGAGAGAGCTCTTGCTGAAAATAAAAAATATATATCAACTAAAACAGCTCTCTCTCTTTCTCTCTCGCATGTATCCATTGATCCATCAGCTGCATCGATCTTTCTGTGGGTTGCTCCGGTTCGATTAAATCAGTGAGTTCTTCCGAGATCTCGTTGAGATTGGCCAGCTAAATGCGTTGCCTTACAAACTAAGCCTCAATATCGTAAGTGGAAAAAAAAACATTCCGTTTACTTTTCAAATATACTTTTTTCATATATTTATTGGCTAACTCTTTAAACGTTACTCTGTAGTTGTTGTTTCTTAATTCATTTTCGTTTTTCTTTTAATTATATTATTAGTATACATATAAATAATTAAAAATATTACATTAAAATGTATTCGTATATCGTATAGAAGTTGCTGCTTGTTTGTTTTTCATTCATATATAATATTTGTTTTGTTTTAGTTTTAGTTTTGTTTTCGTTTTCTTTTTGATTGCGTTTTCTTCTCTGCTAAGATCATTACAATAAGTTTTCGTATCGTGTTTCTCATTTTACAATTTTGCTAAAAACTAAATAAAATTTGTTTCGTGAAACAATAATAAGAATTTATGCAATTGGACACACACAGAAAAGAAAAACTAAATTTTATGCATGTATATTTTATATATACATATTTCAAAATAAAAGCAAAAAGCATCTCAATTATTTTTAAAATATATATATTTACGTATATGTTTGTGTTGTGTTATTTTTATTTATATTTACTTGTGTTATATTTTCATAAAATATCACCTAAAGCAATTACGTATTTCAGTTTCAGTTTTGTATTTTGGGTTTTTTTTTTAAGTTTTTTTTTTTTTTTTTTCTTTTTTTTACATGACAACAATAAAAAATGTTCGCTTTGTTTGCAAAACGTTCAATACTCAAAAAAAAAACTAATAGTAAGAACAAAAGCATTAAACAAAGTGTTCAACAAAATGCAAAAGCCCGCAAAAATCATAGGAAACAATTTGTTGCAGCCAATTTTGCAACAGCTTATATATATATATATTTATAAATATATATAGT